GACCACACTCAATGGGTAAAAGTGTGCCTAGCACAGAATAGGCCTCACGAATATATTGGAATAAGTGATTTACGTTTCATTGAGCAATCTGGTAATATTTGTATTTCATTAAAAAGAGTCAGGATAGTGTTGAAGAAGATAAAGAGCTGAACTTTGGATCCTGACAATATCCTGGCTGTATGATTTCGTGCAAGTTTTTTTTAACCTCTCTGAGCCTCGATTTTCTCATGCGTAATAGGGTATCAATAATATCTACCTCACATGTTTGTGGCAGAATCTCCTGTGGTAATGAATGAGAAAATACTAAGCACAGTACACATTGTAGGTCTTCAGTAGGTTTGCTGGTTCTGAAAGCCATCTGACAGTAGATAAAGCTGTAGCCCAGTGATTCTCCAGATCTTCGGTACCCTCAGTTTTGTTGTCTGTAAAATGAGGATAATAATTACACCCACCTCATGTGCTACTCATGGGTTAAACATGTTAATACACATAAAATAGTTAGACTACTGCCTCCCACCTGCTAAATGCCTAGTAAACGTTAGCTAGTGTCGTATTTGTGATGATTATTAATATCTTGATTCTTAAAGATTATAGACTCTTTTCCTAGAAAAGTACGCATTTAAACAAAATTTTGCAAATAGTTGCAAAGAATTCACAATTCCCCTCAAACTCATACCCTGTCCAATATGCATATGCTGTATGTTACCCTTTGCCATTATCTGCCTTTAAGGCCAAATCCTATGGGAGCAGTTTAGTGATAGGACTTATCTAAAATTATCCAAAAAAATTGTGTGTGTGGTTTTATCTGACTGGGGTTCCTTAATATTTATCAGATACTCAAAAGGATTATGTTCCCAAAAAATGGTTTTAGTAGTGAGTTTTGTTGGTTTGTTTAAGTGGGGTTGAGAGGAACTTGATAAATGCCAAAGGCTGTAGCTTTTCTTGTTTCGAAGTTCATTCTTTACTTTTAATTGTGGACTAACATCTGCAGCCGGAGTGTATTTTGCAAAGCCAAACACAGACATTTGGAAAACCTGCATTTGGACTGCTGACCACCTGCACAGCTGCCGACAGCTGCCACAGACCTTACCTTGGGATTAGTTGTTTCAGGTCTGGGGACCTGTATAGTGTATCTGGCACCATAACTGCCTCACTAGATAATCTTTACTTTTATGACACAGTAAATAGCAACCCTCATAATTCTCACCCAAGAATTTGGAAAAATTTTTCAGTTTGTGAAAGCACTTAGGGATCTTCTGGGAAAGTCTCTGGGTACTTAAATAGAGCAAGCACTGACTTTTTTTTTTTTTTTTAACATTCTCTTTGCCAGGGGAAAAAAAAGAAAAAAAGACTACTAAAAGTTGCTATTGGTATTGTCATGGAACAGCAATTAGTGGTTGTAATCATGAATGAACACATAAGGCACACATTGAAAATTTGACATGCTTTATAAATGCTAAATAATAATAATGATGTCACAAGGCTTTCATTTGCAAACTGTCTTAATTTCATTCTCAGTTTGAGATTGCAGATTAAGGTAGTTAATTATAGAAATTGGCCCAGAGTGAAACCTTAAATCAGATTTCCATTAAAGTGCGTGACTGCAGCAAATTACTTTATGGTGAGAGAGAATGGCATCATCTCTGGTGGCGTGGGGTTTTCCCACCACCCCTGGTGGTCATTTTCCTCTTCGTGCTCTGTGGTACCCTGAACAAGCCCTTTCCCTGACCTAAGCAGCCTGTACCTCTGCCTTATTGCTATTCTTGTGAAAATGCTAACTGCTTTGTTAATGTTGGTCAACATCTCTTTCTCCCTTTCTCACTTCGTGTCTTCTCTCACTCTCCCTCTTGGTTGTCTATAGTTCTCATCTGATGTTCACTCATGTACTCACACCTCTCTGTTTCTCTCTCCCTCTCCTGTCACTTCCCATCTACCCCCCCAGGGAGGCGACTTTCTTAAGAGTTACCTTTACCCAGCTCTGGAAAAGGAAGGAATAAGCCGAAAGAACCAAGTTCCCATCCCTGGCCTCTGGCGCCTGCCACTCTCTGCCTCCCCTGTATCATCTCACATTACTTCCCTGTTCAACACGTAGATCCTGAATCAGCCAAGTTGGTGACAGCTCTGCCTTTATCCTGACTGCTCCCTTCCACCTGAGTTCCTGCTCTTTCCTTCTCTTTTTCAGTTGGAACATCGCCTCTTCCAAAAAGCCTCTCTCATCACAGCAGTCTGCATCATGGGTCCTGCCCTGGCCTTAGCTCTGTGAGACATTCGTAGACCCAGGATTGTAATTGTCAGTTTACTGGTCTGGATTGCAAACTAGTCTTTGAATTCCTTGAGGACAGTGATGATATCTTATTCATCTCCATATCCCAGGCACTTAACTCTGTGCCTGTACAAGGGTGATGATCACTAAGTGTCTGTTGAAATTAATTTAATTCATTTACTCTTGAAACCATTATTTATTAGATGATTACACCATGTCATGGATTACGCTAGCTGCTGATGGAAACAATACATAGTCCTGTTGCAGAGGAGCACAAAGGTGACCCACACAAGGGAGTTGCCTCTTGGGGATGGGGATGCAAGGTGAAAGGCTAATAAACTACATTGGAGAAAAACTGTCTATTTCTCAGTAAGTCTAACAAAGCCAATTATTCACCCACTGTTGGAAAAGAGGGCTTTTCCTTGCGTTCTCTGCCAATTGAAGTGGTTGGCTTCCATTTAGGTACAAATTGTTTTCTGAAGAGTATCTATTTTTAATGTCAGATGCTCATTAAACCCAATGAGATACTGATGTAGGAGAGACTGATGAGAACTGATACCCACTGAGGCCACACCAGATCCATAGCTCATAGTTGACATTCACTCCAGGGCAACACTCACTGAGTAGCCAGGGTCGTGGTCATCTTCCCTGCTTCTTGCCCCCACTCCTGCCTATGTAGATGAATTCACATGAATTTGTTGTGTATGATATGGCTACTCTATAGAATTATCATACTGTTTTAGATGGATAAACAGAATAATTCACTCTAATTTAATGAAATAAGAAAGCTTCACTGAGAAGTTGTTGACATCTGAACTCACCCTTAAAGAATGCGCAGGTTGGAACGTGGCAGAGGCGTACAGGTGCCTGCCTGTGTACTTCACAAGAAAGCCTGGTTCTTCTACACAAAGCTGAGTGAGGCTCGCAGTTCCTGAGTTTGTCTCTTGGACCCCATGGAGCCATTATTGCTCTTGAGTGTTTTTTTCTTCCATTGTTCTGGCAAGTTCCTCTCCATCCCACAGTTATTTGGAAACTACTGCTGTACCACGTCTCAATGCTAATGGTGTTTAATATCTGTCATTAGAAAGCAAGCTTCTGCTTACCAGTTGGCCTGCTGTGAATGGTAATGACAGACTTCTTTTTTGGGAATAGCCCCAATCTCTCATTCGTTTGAAAATATTGCTCATTTATTTTATTCTTAAGATATTACCTTTGTATTGAACTTTAATAAGTTTGTATTTCTATTAAATTCAAATTCAACATAGCTGCAGACTACTGAAAGAGATTTCCTTATTTCTTACTTGCTATGTAACCTGCCCACTTTCATAATTGCTTATTGAAATAAATGTATGTGTAAATATCTGTTAAGTACTTTACACACATGTGCCAAGCATTTCACATGTATTAGCCCAATTAGGCCTTTCAACAGTCTTGTGGACCTGGTACTATTCCCATTTTATAGATGAGGAAATCATGTTCAAGATGAGTATCTACCTTGCCCAAGGTCCCAGCTCTAGCAGCTGGCGTGAATGGAGAATGAATAGGCAATCTAGAGAGCTGACTTTGAGCCTCACCACTGCTACATGGTAGCTGTGTAACCTTGGGACACGTCCTGTGAAATCTCTGAATGGCTTTACTGCACAGTCTTCTGGCAAGGGTCAAAATGAAAAGTGAAGGTCACGTGAAGGCATTTTCTAAAACAGTTAAGTGCTGAACAAATGCAAGGTGTTCTGTTCTCATATGTTTTGTGTAGTTAGTTTAGCCTATTGAAATAACGGGCTTTAAAACTGGCATGAAGCAACACATGTATATGCTTTGCAATTAGTGTAGCATAATTTAATTGTGACTCCATTGTTGGAATTTTGATGCCTCCAGCTTGATGAATAGCCATTTTCTGTGGGTCTTATCAATTAATCTAGGTAATGAATTCTCTTCATTATCTCGTTCTTCATGTTAATTACACAGGATTTTCTTATGCCTATTTATCAAATCAGGACAAGTGTAATTTGGGGGGGCCCACATGCCTTTGAATATGGAATATGTATAAGCAGGTTAACATGAGGGTTTTAAATTTACATTTCTGAAAAATTCCCATCACTGGCTTGACTTTTCTTACGTCCTTGTTTGTGATATGAGCTTGTGTCTCTTTCTTTGGGGGTGTCTTGTTTTTTAATCAAAAATGTTGTTATCTAAGATAATTAAACTATCTCTGACTTTTGAGTATATGCATCTAGTTATCAAAGAGGTATTAAGGAAGCATGGAAAATTTTGAAACTTTACCTACTAATACAAAACAACAAATAATTAGTAAGTTCCTAGTTTTGAAATATTCCATGAGGCACCATGACAGATAAAAATGTAAGTATAAACCGTGGGGAGAAAAGACATAAGTGCATGAAATTTTAAGTGTGACTACTCATAAAAGAACAGTTCCAGACAACAATAGAAGAAAAAGCAGAAGACAGTATATAATAAATGAGTGGGTATTGAATTCATTTTGAGTTTAGAGAAGTGATTGATGGGATAATATGGGTAACATGGTAATGTAATATATTGATATTTATTAACTCAGTACTAAATTTTAACTTCCCTAACATTTTCTGGGACTTTTATATTTTATGTTCTGTGTTAAAGAAGAATGGAGTCTTATTTTAACTGGCTCTTTTGTTTAGCCAATTATTTTTGAGAATGTTAGCTGTCAACATTTTGATGAGTGCCTTCCTATTTTCAACTTCAGGTTGAAGCCATCCTCGTCAATATTTTTGGTGGAATCGTCAATTGTGCCATCATTGCCAATGGGATTACCAAAGCCTGCCGGGAGCTGGAGCTCAAGGTGCCCCTGGTGGTCCGGCTTGAAGGTAAGTTATGGTAGATTTCCACAGCGCCAGCACTCTTTCCTCAAGACCAGGTGACCAGCGTGGTCTGCACTCAGAAACTTCCTGAGACAACATAAGGAAGCACTGGATTAAATGAGATGAAATAAGTGCGGTACAGCAGCACTTCTCTGAGCCCCTCACAGGCTAATACAGTTCGCAGCTCTCCAAGAATGGCATATGTTATGATTCTCCAAATTTTCCAAACTTATTCCAGAGTAGAGCCCTTTCATTCTGAATCATTTCATGAGATTATGTTCTGGGAAAAACACTCTGAGAAATGCTGCTCCAAGAATTATTCGTCATGGGAGAGCAATGGCTCTCAATCTTGGTCTCAAGACTTCTTTACTTGTTAAAATTGAGAACCCCAAAGACTTCTTGTTTATTCTGGGTTATATCTGTTGGTATTTATTAATTAACTTAATTGATTAATTTGGTAATAGGAATAACTACTTGGAACTTTTTAGATAGCCATCTTTTTAAATAATAAAATTTTAGTTTTTTATATTATATATTTTATATATAAATATATGTACTATCTACTTTATGAAAAATAACTATCTTTTAAAAATGTTAATTAAAATAGCAGCACTGTTTTACATTTTTGCAAATCCCTTTAATATCTAGCTTAATATTTGCTTCTGCATTAGATCTGTTGCTGTATGTTGCTTTAGTTGAAGTATGTGAAGAAAGTCTGGCCTCATAGAGCTATGTATTTGGTAAAGGCAGGAGTTTTTAATAATCATTTCGTATAATTTTGAATATTTTCTTTGGTACTCTACTAAAGTCTGCAAGTAATAGTTTCTTCATTAAAGATTTGATTAGTTTTAATGAGGAATCTGAAACTATTTCAATGAACTTTTTCTACTCTGTTATATTAAAATTCGTTGATCTGTCTTTCACATTAAATGAATTTTACGCATGCCTGATTTGTAATGTCATACATTGATCGTATGGAAAATTTTGGATTATGCAGATCTTCCAACATACATATCAAAAAATTCACATTTGTTAATATGGTATCATTCTCATCAGAGTGGTTTCTGAGTATTGGGAAGCTGTCAAGGTGGTAGAAGCAAGTTTTCCATAATTCTAATTTTGACTAAAAAGTCAGCAGCCACAAAACATTCACTTGTTTTCCTTGAAGTAACAAACTCACTTCACTCATTTTCAAGAAAATGTCTGCCAGATAACTAAGTCTGAATAACCATAGTGTGGCCTTCATTCTTTCCAGAAAAAATAGCATTCCGTGGAAAAGTGAGCGGTTTAGCCTGCTGCTCCAACACTTGCACAATTGCTTTTCGTCAGAACAGCAGTTGTCATTCAGTGTGCAGCGGAGTGCTTGGTCTCACAGAGTATTAGGAAGACGGGTCCTCAAGGGTTGAGATTTAATAAAATTAATATTTTTCACTCTTCATTAAGGACATTCTTACTTGCAAGTGGCAACTTTTTACTGTGAATGTGTGGTGGTGAAAAACACTGGCTACTTGTACAGTTTGGTGCCGCTGCTTGGATTCCGGGGTAGCGTGCCATTACCTTTCCTTCATCAGCGCAAATGCCAACAGAGTATTATTATTTCTTAAATTATTATTATTTTAATATTTGTGTAAAAGTAGTTTTTTATGTCAGGGACGTCCCCCAGGGTTCTGTAGACCACACTTTGAGAACCACTGTAGGAGAGAAGCAAAAGCAGACACTCTAATGTGAGAACTATGCAAAAGTCCTGTTCACATCATCAGCAAATTCAGATTACAGGGAGCAAGCAGCGCCCTTGAGTGGGTTTCGACAGCATCGTTCTTGTGACAGCTCAGTTTCCCCAAGTTCTACATTGGTGCCGTAATTCCTTAGAGACCTTCTTCTCCTCAAGATGAAGCCCAGGGATATTTCCACCCTGCTCTGTATCCCCGTCCTTTGAAGTCAAGCCTCTGAATGAGCTGCAGCCCGTTTTTCTCTGCTTCTTTCTTCTCTCACTCTCTGCCTCTCTCCTTTCTTTCTCCCTGAGACTCACTGCCTCACAAACTTAGATCGGCGCCATATGGACTTGATAGAAATAATAATCGCAAAAGAAAAATGGAAATAGCAGAATCCCCATTTGGCAAGGTTTAAGATGGATATTAAAACATCTGAATGAATTAAATCTTCTTAAAAATGTAAATGCACCATAATTGATCCCAATAAAAACAATTTCTATAAAAGGAAAATGATTTGCAAAGCTATAATGAAAAGAAAATTGATCAAGGAGTTAATGGGTTCGTCAGTGTGGGTATAAAATTTTGATGAAAATGTTGATGTTAGATGTTTTCAGCGTCAAAGTGACCAGAGACCCTCAGATTCTAAAAGTCAGCTCTTCTTCTTGTGTTCTTAGAGGAGAGCAGGGCTCTATAAGCAAATCATACTAGTCTGTCTGTCACTTGGAAATGACTAGAAATGAGTGCATGCTATGGTGGACTGATTCTGTCTAGTGATCCTTCCTGTGTCTGTGTCATCAGCAGAGGTCCATAATTATTAGTTATTGGTACATTCCTAGAAATGAAGGTTACCCTTTTAATTTTTCCCAAAAGATTAAAAGCAACACTTCTCTTGTTTTCACACTTAGTATTCCAAAAGCATTAAATGATCCCTCTCATGTAACATATCCCTATCATGTCTATCTGGATGATACACTTGCTGAAATATGCAAAATACCATGTGCAAGATAATCTCCTTTATAATCTCTGCTGGCTGTATCAGAGGTCTGAGCTATCAGGAAGAAGCTTTGAATGTAACTTTATTAGATAATCAGATTTGCATCTTTTAAGTTAATGCACTTCCAAAGTGTATGCCTGTGGCTTTTTAATTAGTTAATTAATATAATAAATACTATATGCAAGTCACTGAGCTTTAGACATTAAGGAAGATGTATAGAAATATAAGAAATGATCGCAGTTACTAGATAACCAGGGCAAAAAAGAAAAATAGAAACATTAACAATACAAGATAATATATATAAAGTGTTAACCAGTGTTTGCCCTAATAGGATCTACTTCTCTCTTAGTAGCAATAGCCACTGGGGCGTCCCACACAGTCACCAGCATGGCTTATGGAATATTCAGAAATGTTGATCTTTACAGTATCCACTATATTGTGGAGAATTGAATGTGACAACTCAAGACGAGCTCAGAGAGGATACTGTCCCCCAAATTTATGTACGTTAAAAATACCCAGGGTGACCTTCTTTGCCACTACCCTCCTTTCACCATCATAGCCCCTATCGTATAATAAGCACCTAGGACCTTCATCAAGAGAGAAGAAGCAGGAGGGCTTTTGGCATTTCTGGAGTCTTAGCTGGTGTTTTTTTCTTCCTCTTGTGGGAATTGGCATCTTGTGTGATAAATGTCCTTAGATAGATACAGGTTCTCACACTCAATGTGGTGATATCAAGAACACTCATTAATATCTATATGTGTAATTTCTGGGAAACCAACAGCCCTCCCCAAAATTGTATTGGTCTTGCATAATAAACTAGGGAAAGATGAAGTATTCTGCTCCAACTCTACTTTTGGCGCTGATCATAGGTGACAAAATGCAGAAATTTGGAGACATTATCCTTAAAGACCCTATGGAAGGGAACTAACACAAACCAAGCCAGTGTTCTTTACACTAGGAAATGTACGTGTCCCTTAAGCTGAGTGCCTTTTGTAGCTCAGCCCTCTTTCATTGGCATACCCCCCTTTTAAAGCTTACTCATTATTGACTACTATAATTATAGTACATTTGGAGATGTGAGTTAGCAAAGAAATATTATAAAAGGAGAATTTCCAAGTTGAGCATGGAAATAAGTAAGATTTGATTCATTGAAAAGGAGGAGGAAATTTGGTAGAGGATCAAAAGCAAGTCATCAGATCTGTTTCATATTTGAGAGTTGGTAGTGGGATCATGACAGTGGTAAAGACTGAAACGCAGGAACAGGTTAGATCAGAAGGCTGTTCTCGCATGGGTAATGGCTTCCCAGCAACATGTTATGGCTAAAAGAACACAGTGGGAAAATCAAGCTAGCAGCCCGAGTCTATGACATTGGATAGAATCTAAAACCCAAGCAGGATTGCCATATAGAAGTAACAGTGGCGTTAGAGACAAGAGCAGAGATAGAAAAAGAGATGAGAGAAAAAGGGGGACCTAGAATTTTAAATCTAACGACCAGGAGAACGATGGCATAGTTAGTGGACTTGGGAAAGTCAGAAGTGGGCACTCCCCAGCGTGGGAGAGTGTTACATTAGGGCGTAGTCATCCTTAGTTTGAGATGAAGCTATAATATCAGACACAATGTGTGTGGAGGTAGGAAGTGGGAATTCAGGGGACAGCCCAAGGAGAGGTGTGAAAGACAAATGATGTCACCCCCACTCCGAAGGCCCCCAGTAAGCCGCACTCAGGGCTTGCTGCTCTGGAAATTGTTCCCCTGCAGTAGCTCAGTTAAAATGAGAAACTGACTCAAAACAAAAATCTCTCATCACAGAAAGTCTGGTTCTCGGTGCTTCCAGTGGGGAAAAAGTTGCTAACTACAGGGCCCTTTGAGGAATTTCTCTTATACTCAATCTGAATTTTTCGTTTGCTTTCCTCTGGGTTGGAACATAAATTCTGCTCTTCCTACAGATCTCTCCACATTCAGTTATATTTTACCCAGCCTTAGAGTATGATTTGGTTTCTTCTGTTCTTCTAAACAGAGTAACTCTTCATTGTCTTTCGTGACAGAGAAAGACAAAGCGGTACAAAGAGGCAGGAACATTTCGGACAATTCTGGTGGTAGTTTCTATTTGCCTTGACATAACACCATACTTTCTTTTTTAGCTGATGAGCTTCTCAATTATCTTTACTCATATTCATATTAAAATTGGTTCACATTCCAGAACATACACCATGGTTTATCTAATGAAAATGAGATGAGAAAGAGGTGTCCCTTATCCCAGCATCCATGATAAAGCCGAGTGACACATAAAAACTGAGTGTGA